CTTAAGTTGATTTGCTTTGTTTCTGTCTCTTCTGTGCTCTTTCTGTCTTCTAGTGGGCCTCGGTGTCAAAAATCTTAAGTTGATTAGCTTTGTTTCTGTCTCTTCTGTGCTCTTTCTATCTTCTTGTGGGCCTTGGTGTCAAAAAAACTCTCATCTTAAGTTGATTTGCTTTAAGTTGATTTGCTTTGTTTTTGTCTCGTCTGTGCTCTTTCTGTCTTCTTGTGGGCCTTGGTGACAAAAAAATATCATCTTAAGTTGATTTGCTTTGTTTCCGTCTCTTCTGTTATCTTTGCGCCTCCCATGCACCTCGTAGTGATGCAAGTGGTGCTGTGGAACGCCCCCGACTTTTTTAGCATTTTCTCTGTCATTTTTGTATCCGATGACCTTGTGGAAAGTCGGGGCCCAGTTTGTCAAAAAATTGTCAAAAAACAGTGCATTAATGATCCAAAAAAGTCTTATTTTTTGCTGTGTTTTCCAATGTTTTATGCACATTGCATTTCAAAGCCTTCGAATGCGAGATAACAAAATAAACCTCAAAAATTGCCTCTCGTGCAGGTAAAATGCAACTTTTTGAAGGTAAATAAGCTCAACACAAACCCACCCAAAGCAACTTTTTACTGTAAATTACAGTGTTTTTTGCACCTTCGAACCTGCCTCAAGACACCCCAAAAGTCTGCAAATCAAAACCTCGAACTTTCCCCCCCCCCCCCCCCGGAACTACCTCCCGGCCAACAACTCAAAGCGATATTCATCGCTTTCCGTCATCAGCTTGGCCCCCCCCCACCCCCCCCCCTTCCCTTTCGGTAATACTTCCAAGCGCTACAGCGCTTTCCGTCATCAGCATCTTCCAGTAGCTCCAAAATGTCTCCTCTACAAAATGCCAAAAGTAAGACAAGTTTCTCTATTGACAAATGCCTTATATCAATGCCCAACCCGTGGCATTCTGTAGAGGATACAGGCAGGAGGATCTTAATTCGGCATCACAGCAACAATAGGGACTCCACAAGTAGTAATGCCAGGAGCTACTAGTAGCTTCTTGCTACTAGCAGATTCCAGAAAGGACCTGTATGGACCTGTGCTTATTTGTATATGAAGATCCAATATTCAATCCAGCTCTGTACACATCCTATGCTCACCTTTGCACTCAACTCCCCAGTACTAAAGACCAAAAAAATGCTCAATCTGCAGGTCAAGCTGCAGGTCAACTCCACCCTACCGACCCTACCCTTAAACAAAGAGACCTCAAATTTGAATTCCGGTCTTAAAGAAATGCCACTGGCCCACCTGAGCGCCACCACTTCGGCGCAGCAACGCTTCGCCACATCCGCCGGGAGCCGGGAGCGTTGCCACGCTCCATCGGGGGTTCCCGTCGTAAAGCGCTCCTCTGCGGCGTACAGGCGGCCTGGTGTTGCTCGGTCTGGAGAGTCGGAGGTATCTGAGAGAGGGAGAGTGATTTATCAATATTCATAGAGTTATGTGTTTATTTACTTATTAGGCCTGATACTTGAATTGATTTGTCTCGCCTTCCTGTGCTTCCCCATGAAAATCCATTTAAGGATTGTTGCGAGTGTTGAGATTGTGAACTTGCATGTTCCTCACCATTGGCATCGTTGTTTGCATAATGTATTGCAAAAACTTGAAGCCTGTCTTGCCTGGAGGCAGGGGTCGTCAGATTCTGCCATGGAGTCGGTAGGATGAGAGAACGAATCAGAACGAAAAAGGCTTTAGCAACTGACCCATGGTGACGAAAATATAGTTTATTTGAAGTTTAATTCGACCCATGCTGTTCAACGGAGAAACCCAAGATTTGCCAGAACAGAATGACCCGCCTGGTTCCACGAAGACCTGTGGGCCCCGTCGAACACAGTAAGAGACCAGCACACTGCCCTGTGCGCATGCCGGTCATGCTCAAGAACATTCGGAAGGTCGCATGTTTAAAACCATGTCGTTTTCGTAACAGACGTTGGCACGAATAATGGTACCAACGATACATGATCCGGAATGCCTGTATGATCCTGTATGATGTCTCAAGGTCGCTCAGACAAATCATGAACCGTGTACCACGAGCCGTCCGGCAGTCAAACTCGCCAAAAGACGGGGGCACACCTCTTCAAGCTCCGAGCTCCCTGGCAAACAAGCACGCAATGTGTTTTCATTTGAGGTGTTGTTTTCTCCTCAATCGATTTGAGTGGCTGAATGGCTGCTACAATCAGGGCTACAGTACGAGGGCTACCAGTACCTTTGGGCTCACTAGATAAGTCAAGCAAGGTGGTTCACGTGCCATCCCTCTGGGGCAGTTCGCAGTGTCAGTTTTCCGTACAACCAGCAGACAGGACTTGCATGGACTTGCTATTTTTATTTGCCAGGGTATCGTGAGGATATAAAGACAACAAAGGATGAGGACCTTGTTGCATAAACCAGATTGGTGATGGGGCTACCGTGATCCTCAAGCGCGTGAGGCGTCGTGATCCTCAATATACAAACAGGGGTTGTTCATCTGTGTTCCACCTATGTGACTTTATATAACTTCTAAAGCGCTGAGGCAACAACGGGTAGAGTTCTCACCCTCAACATTGGTGAATGACTCATCGCTCGCTGCAAGAACTCTCCATAGCACAACCCTCGCTTTCCTTGAAAGGACAGAAGGATGGTTGGTGGACAGCTTAAAAAGTGCTGCAAAAGGCATGTGGTTGCAACCAAGCGGATTTTAACATGTTGACTGCTGGCAGGGGGGAAAAATGACTCAGATTTATGTGACTGCGCCTCCTGTCAACTCCGAACGAACCAGAGTTGTGCGAACATTCTGTTTGCGCGAATCAAGGTTGTCATGGTTTGCACGGACGAATTGAGCCACCGATGTCTCGTCACGAATTGAGCCTTCCGATTTCAGCTGCACTCCCATCTTCTGCAAAGATTGTCGCATGGATGACAAGTGCAACAAAGGTGGGGGCCGCCAGCCCACCAATCCTGAAGGCTTCAAGCGGTCGTGGTGCAGGTCAAAGGTAATTGCGTTCAATACCATAAGCTGTAGCTACCTTAAGCTTCATCAATAGATGCAAGCAGTCAGAGCAGCCTCATATCATGTGAGACCATTAGCACCTCAAACCTACAAAATGAATCCACAGAAGGGTCTTTGTTTCCAAAGGGCAGGGTTTCAATTTGGTGTATCAAATGAAAGATGCGCAAATATCGTTTTGACTCAGCCTCTCGACCTTTGTTGACCAACTACTAGTTAGCTAGTTGCATGGTCTTGTGCGCATCGTCAGTCCCCTTTCGTGACTTGGTGTCCGGCCAACGCTGATGTATGAGGACTCAAGCTCCAGGCGCAGCAAAGGAGGAAAGCCGGGCACCTGCGTGCTAAATAGAAACAGAAAGAGCATCCAAGTGTGAAAACAAGGCTTCTGAGATTCAAAAAAAAATGTGCTGTGATCGCAGCAGGCTTTGATGTGTCCTAGATGATGAGAGGCGCAGGAGTTACAGTATCAAGCTCGTAGACTCGTGAAATCTGAGTTCCTGCATTTAACGACAGGCGTGAGCTCTTGCTCAACGAAGCAATTAGGATTTGGTACTCTTTGAACATCGTGTGGAAAGAACTTGATCTAGGCATGCTGGACGTGCTTCCTGGCCTCTGCCACAGGCATCTTGGCTACTTCATTGATTGGGATCTCCTGCAGGGTGCAAATGTCTTCGCTTCATCTTCAATCCTGCCCACCATCCACTATCCACCATCCACCCATCCCGCCCGTGCCACTCCTGTCCGTGGGAGTTTGACAAGTTCATCCCTTGCTGCACATGGAGGACGTGCCCATTCTGCGCAGGGGGAAGCGACTGGGAAAAACCAAAGACGATCCCCAGCCAATGATAAAACCTTTCGGCAAGACACGCCATGATTGGTCATTGCCATGCATTTGGCAAGACATGGACACTCTGGTCCCAGTTCTTCGAAGGCCAACCTCTTGTCACCAGGCCTTGTCATGAAGTGTACGGATTCTTCCACGATCCCGCAAACCAGACAAGAAGTGGAAGTCCTAGCGGCAATCAAAAGGGCAAGATTCTTCAACAAAAACATAAGGTTTGGCTTGTTTTGCAAAAAAGGTGGCTGCAGGTCTTATTCTTTTTGCCTCTTGAACGGTTTGCAGTTGTTAGATTACAAATAACCATAGCATAACCAAATTTGGGGGATATTGCAAACCATAGCCTTAGCCTAGCCTCTGCAAGGAAGTCAAGCAAGGTGCAACAAAATCTGGATCAGTCAAAAGTCCATTCCTACATGACAGTTTGCGTCAGTTGCTAAAAACGGCACAAGACCAAGAAACAAGGTCCTCGCCAAAGTGGCAATGCGGAAACGGTTGTGCCAGTGCTACACATCGTCGATAAACGTATGAGAACCCATAGCCCAACAGCCAGCTGTCCTGCCAAGCAGATTTAATGCAAGTCTGGAACACCAACTATAACTATACAATCATATATAAATTGCACATGTTTTTATGTCGAAACTTCAAAGAAATGCGCCCTTGCTCAGAGGCACTTTGCTCACTTTGCCCTACGCTGATTATTGGTGCGGCACCAGGCAGGAAAAACATGAAAAACTCCGTGGAACCAATGTCCCAGGTGCACTTTCCTGATTCGATAGCGGTGCATGGCTTGGATACAAGTCCAGATATGAATCGGGAATGATCTTGGCTTCGGGACCTTTCCAACCTGCAAACAGTAGGTTGGACTCGACTCTCCAAACAAATCGTCAGCCTTTAATGACAAAAAAGGTGTCCCTTGCAGCTGTCCTGTGATCCATCTGCCTTGGGAGCAACTTTGGCCACCTTCCCACAGCAAGCATCCTCAGCCGGAACCGAATACAGGAAGATGCCCAACTCTGTCCCCAGTGGTAAAAAAAGGCACCTTCGTCTGAAGGTGTGCGAATGAAGATCTACATATAGGTCACAAACTCGAGACATTGCGTGCGGAAATGGCTTGGGGCGTGCCACACGCCAGCCTGTGAAAAACCTAAGAAGCCAGGACAGGAGGAGGGAAGTATGTTATGCGGTCTGATCATCAAACTAGGATCACAGCTCCAAAGCTCCAAATATCAAGGAATGTCAAAGCCACAACGAAAGCAACGACAAATGCACATCTGCAGACCTGATCCTGCAACAGCCCGAGGACCTCTACGATTGGAGAATGGCTAAAGCATGCACAACTCAGGCGCAGACAAGCCGAGTTGATCAGACTCGGTATCCCATGATTGTGGTAGCTTCGTTGAGCGCGGTCCCACAATCACGCCGCACTCCCCTGCTAAAAGAGTTGAGAAGCAAGTCTAAAATCATCTAAAATCAATCGATTCCCTGTGATTCCAAACGGGGCCACAGGGGACACTCCTCGGGCTCACACACTTAGGAAATGCGTACTGAACTGAATGCCTCATGCCACACGCCCACCTAGGTATGAAAGCCTAAGAGGCCAAGTTAAAGGTAAGTAAAAACGGTTTGGTCCGGAACCTGAACGTCGTCAAATGCCAAAATCACGAACTCGACAAGACAGCGAGCGGCGAACACTTGTCTGCAGAGCTCAAACCGGTGCAATGGCCAGCGACTTGCTCTAGTGACTCTAGTGACAAAAGGGCCCAGAAAGAAATGAATTGAATGGTCATCTTCTTCTCGCAGGTACATGCAATCTGCGTCCAGATTGCATATCACAGCAAACTTGAAGTGTCTTCCTTGAGCGGTGACTTCAAGAATGCCCACTGCTCCCCTGCTAATCTAAAGCTAAAAAGCTAAAAAGTCAAAGGTAACGAATCAACAGATTCACTGTGATTCCAAGGGTTTCACACACACGCGCGCGCACACACACATGAAAGCCATCGAAACGTGAAATGTGAAATCCACCTGCGGGAGCAGCCCTTCTCTGGAAGGAACAACCTTTCAACATCTTTCAACTCTTCAACCCTATTTGATCAAAATGAATGGAAGCTTTTGTGCTGTACAGTACATGTCGAAGCACATGGGGATTGGCAGTATTATCTCACATCTCAAGAGGAGCATTGATTTGGCATCGAATTCTCCGTGGCATTCCTCTTTGTTTTCCGAAAGGGATTCATCTTTGCTCGCTCCCTCCGCCCAGTTTGTCCGGTGGCTCCGGGGTCCGCCACGTCTCCCAGACAAACCAACTTGCCAGAGTGATGCCTTGGGCATCCTGAAGGCCTGGCGTTTCAGCAGACCGGGTTTCAGCCAGTGAAACGACACTCAAAGCGCAGGTGGTGACATTCGCCACGAAAAGCTTGCGCCGGTGGTGACCTTCGCCCTCGAAGAAGGCGGCAAGAAGATACAAGAAGACCAAGGGCAAAGTCAGTTCGGATCAAAATCTGGTACAAATCCTTTGTTCTTGTATGTTCTTGTGGTCCTTGTGAGCCTCCTGCTACCCATTCAGGAAAATGGAAGTGGCTGTGCATGGGCTGGACATCCCCTCGTCAAGAGCACATGTAAATCAGCCGCAGCCCCTGCCTTGCAGCATGACATCCAAATACTGCGGTGAGTAGAGGTCGTCGTCGTCAAAGTGAGCTATGAAGGCTCCTGAAAAGTGCACAATGGCAACACCAAATGCTGAAAGCCTCCTAGAGCTCTTCCTTTTTGGGTGCTCGGCGCTCGCTCACAGTGAGACAGTCATCCCCCCTGTGGTTTCCAAGGGCGTGGAACATACCATCAATGATGATCAAGAGAGCCGCACTGCACACTGCTCAAAACAGACGGCTTCCTGCTGGTGTGACTTGCATCTACAAATCGAATCAAGGTCTTGACCTGCAGCACCATTCAGTACCTGCTGCAGTAAGGCTCAGCACGAGACTTTGCTCCCTCTCTCTTGATCCCTCTTGACTTAGTGGACCTAAGCTCTCTTGGCTTTCCAGCTCTGTGCAATCACCTTCAGCCCTTCAGCTACTCGTATGTGTAGCACCAACAGGACCCCCGACTGGGACATCGCGAGCTTCGTTTCCACAGCAGCAGGAGCACCAGCGAAGACCAAGCATCACGAGGCCTAAAAGACAAAGCCAACCTCCAAGGACAAAGTACACAATCTTCCACAGGTCCGAGCTGGGCAAGAGGAAGAGGGAGATTGACCCCACATAGAAATAGAAGCATGCACGACCCGTCTGACTCGCAAGGAAATTGCAGTATGTGAAGAGCTTGGTCTGCAAGCCAAAGAAGGCATTTCCCCACTGTTCTCTCACATCGATCAGCACTAGGACAAAGCCAAAAATACATTGGTAAAACCTGAGCTGTGCGGCTTATGAGGTCATTAAAGTTCATAAACCCAAACCAAGGACGGGTCACCCGGATGGCCAAGGTCCGACCCAAGGTCCCTCCGGGCCCTCCGCTGACAGCGAACAACAAAAAAAAGTTTCCGGTTGGTCTTTTTTGGTCGACTCCGAAGAGCATTTGCAGCGAATCTCTTGGACTCCAATTTTCTCCATCACCCATTCGTGCCACGCCCACAATGCTAAGCACACTGATCACGGAGAGGGCCAAACCAACCAAGCAGCATAGAGCGCTGACAGCGAGTGGATTCCTCGAGAGGCGGGTTTGGGATATTCCCTGCTCAACATGCACATGATTGCACATGAGTATGTTTGTGCTTGGATTCAAAACAAAGCATGTCTTTGAAAGATGCAATCATCGGCCTCTGGACATAAATGGTGAGGCTAACAACTCCCTTCTGTGCTATGGCTGCCCCACGCTGTGCACCATGCAGGGCAGCACTGCCCACGGCTGAAGCCGCACCGCCGCCACCCCCACCGCTGGGAGGAGCCACACCAGCCATGAGGTCGAAACAGAACAAAAGGCTTGAGCCCAAAACCATCCCGATAGTTTCTGAAAGCTGCTGCCACTCATGCGTTGTTTTCTTCATCCGATGCAGGCTCAGCCTGCGTCCGATGGTCCAAGGCTCAAAAACACTCAGCATCACCTGCTTTTGCTCGACATATCCTCGGAAGTGACACCTTTTCTCGAAAATCCCTTTGGTCAATAAACACCTTTTCTGGATGTGGAAGGACGGACCGGAAGACTTCAGAACGCTTCATGCCGTTCGGACTTTCACAGGAAGACCGGAGGAAACGTCCCCAGTCCTGTTGCCAAAATGATGGCGATATTCCGCTTTAGGCCAACTGGCCACCTCATCCACCAAGCTTCGTCGTGCTAACGTCGTGCTAACGTCTAGCAACGTCGAGCACATCTTAACAGGTTTATCACAGTTAGATTTCCACTCTGTCAGTGCCAGCCAAGATACTCAGTGGCTGCGACTTTGAAATGTACATATACTAACCGTTGATCTTCCAGCATCTTGTTACCTCACTGCGCAGCTGAATGAATCCCAGCCTGCAGTGGGCACCACACATCTGTCTCCCCCCTGTTCTCTCCCTCTCCCTCATGTCCATCTTGTGAAGCCCAGCTGCGCAGGAATGGGGATGCTCTGCAACCGGTGTCAACAACAACAAGCTCCTGGACATTTGATGTGAGAGTCAACTCTTTTTCTCAGCCTCGACACTCATGCTTCTCAGTGAAAAACCCAACACTCATGCCTTGTCTTCCGGAGTCATCGCAGCGATGACTGATGACCCTTTCTCTTCGAATGAAAAGGACCCAGTGCCTGGCTTCACTCCTTGTCCTGCCAACTTTGAGCAGCGAAGCAGTTGTAAAGCTGTGGGTGATACAAAACCCGCTCTTCCGTAGTTGGGCAAATGACACCTGAGACATTCACCGGCTTGAGTCGACCAAGCTCTGATGAATGCTTGCTCAGCACGAATCTCTTACAATGGTCTCCAACTGGCATCAACACACAACCAAGGAGACCCAGCCTGGTGCAACCATGCGGACCCAACCCGATGTTGAATCTTTTGTTGGATTCTGAACTCCTACTCTGATCTGCGGCAGGATGGTAGTTGGTGGTCACGACAGGCATGTGTTCACCTTTCTGTTCGCCTTGCATTTTACAACCAAAAGCCAGGTCTTCCTATTTACTCTACTATCTCTACTTCAATGGTCGTCGCTCCAGAGTTTGGGACCAAAGCAGGACCAAACTCTTCCGGTATGTCTTTAACCAGGAGCTGGTACGAGCAGTTGCTGCCAAGGCGCTGATGCGGCTGCTTCGGCCAAAAGGCCTCCTGCCAATTCAGTTGCTGGTGACTTTGGGGCAGGAACCTTTGAAACCTGCAGAATCTGCTCCAACTAAAAGTGTGCGTATGTGCGTCTGACTTTGAGACTAAACTCAATCAAGGTTCCTCAAGTTATTGCAGCAAGCCAGGAGTGGTTCTTACCATGACGACAAAACAAAGGGCTACATTGGTATATATTGGTATTACATGGTATTACCGTGAAGCTTTGGAAATGGGCCACTCACATAGGCATGTTTGTCTCCTCTGTAAGTCTGCTGCGTTGACCAAGCCATTTGTGATCCGCTCAATGTCGTGGAGCCTTGCCCACATGCTCGCGCCATGGCTGTGTCAATGCGGATCGCGCAAATGCAGGGTGAGCGGTCAGCTAAAACACTCTGTTGGACAGTCAAAGCGCAACAGACCGCTGTTAGCCTTCCGACAATTTCCGACAGAATGGCAAACCCATTTTGCCACCAGGTCAGCTGATCTTGAGCTCTGTGTCTCAGCCGTTCAGTGGGTGTCCTTTAAGGTACATTGACCAATGCCTCGATTCAATGGCCAATGGCAAACATGCTGGATTCGTGCGGTCTCTTGTGTCTTGTGTTTCACCCTCGAAAGGTGTAGAGACAGTGACTGTCAAAGGCTCTGAGTGAATGCTCTGCTACTGTTGAACGCTGACAAAGCAAGTCGCATCCTGCCTCTGCGAAGTGTGTGTCCGCTGCACTGTCCATCTGAGCACGAGGGAGGAGCATAGCTTGGACCAAGAGCTCTAAAAAACACTTGCAATTTATATAGGTGCTCCAAGCCTGGTGTTACAGAGTGTCATTTGTCCAGAAGCCCCACACTTTCTCCATTACTTCTATAATCTTCTATATACTGTATATACTGAGTTTTTGTGAGTTAGGACACTCTGATCCACAACTCCTATCCCTACCCTAGTATAGTATATTACAATATGATTGAGTGTATGGTGCATGTCTGCTCTTATGACCCCCAAAGCCGGCCTCTATGTACAGTCCAAATCTAGAAGCAAGTTGTGGTAGAACACCTTCAGCATCGCTTCAGCATCGCGATTCTTCACATGTCCAATGTAGCTTCATGTAACTTCCCCCGCTTCATGGTGTTTCAATGTCAATCTCCGTGGAAGTTGTACAACATTGAACACCGAATACGGCCACGTGAATGGCCGCGTGCATGGCCGCGTTTGGTCCATCGACTGCCTCGAGCCAAGTGCTCTGCTGCATGCTTTGGCAGCAAAACACGCATAGGCCTCGACTTGTCATGACTCATCTCGTCTGCTAAGCAGAGCTTCTATCACTTCTTGCCGAGTCTCGGTTGCGGTTTTATATGACCATGCCGCTCCTATCTGCTCGGCTTAGCATAACAAATGCAATGTCACGGAGATGACTGTGCAAGCAATTTGATGCAATTTGTCAAATACCCCACATCCCATACGGGTCGGGAGTTTGGCACTTGAAAACAAATGTGCGTACAGAAGCAAGGAGTGCGATCATGAAGCTATGTATGTAGTGTGTCTGAAAGTCTTTAGGATACTGCATGACAATAACGGTTTCCCGGATTTTCGATCGTAAGGCATCTCTCGTGTAAAAGGTCGATGGAGATCCTAAAAAGGTCGAAGAAGCTTGGGAAGGTGGGTGGGTTTGTGCTCAAGTTTGTTTTCCTCTCAATTTCGGCCGTACAGCACGTCTTCGGTGACTGCGCGGTACTAAGGCTCCAGCCACTTCGAAAGGCTGGCAGCATCCTTCGGCCAACAAAAATAGATGGTGAAGAGGACCATAAGAACGTGAGAATACGGGGTGAGACATGTTCTTGTTTGGTCTAGGTCTAGGTCAAACAATTCATGCCTTTTTGTCCTCTTTTCTATTTTTTCTTAAAGGATCTCCAGCAAAGTGAGGCAGTCATGAGATATTTGAGATCATTGATTGACCATCATTGAGATGGCCATCACCTTTTGTGAAGTCGCCGAAAAGACCTTTCTCACATCCTCGAACCAAAACACAACATCGAACCAATCTGTCTTGCTGCAGCTGCAACTACAGTTTGTTCCTCACCCCGGTCGGAGAAGGACCGGATTCGATCGGGCGACCGACAGCTCATCAGTTTCGTCTCCTGAGTTGCGTCGCTGGTCATCCTCGCAAAGCAAAGGGTTCGACCAAAAACGACATGCAAAAACGATCAGAAACAAATGAGCATGTTGGGGATGTATGGGATGTGACATGATATGACAATGACTCGAACAAACATTGAAAATCCGCCCGCACCGATGGTGCTGAGGGGCGTTACACTATCAGTGGCGCATGCTTGCTAAGGGGTGCATTTCGTTTGGAAACGATAATGCATATATTGCGTCATGCGGTGCGTTTGGGAAAGGAGCGGGCATGGGAGAAAAAATTGGAAAAACACATGGTTTCACATATCACGTGTGTCTGAGTATATATATTTCTCATCATCATACCATGTGCATGACAAAATCCATGAAGGGCAAACAAACGCCAAACGCCTCCTCTCAACAGGCTGTGTCTATCATTGTCGTTCATGACGGCATCATATGCATCAGCTGATCGCAGTTGTAAAGTTTGTTACCGTATCATAAGCAGCATCAGCTGGTGGCAATTGTATTGTTTATTGTACTGTACAAAAAACTACAAACGATCATAAGTTGGACACCCTGAAAGAAAGACATTACTAAGCGGTCGACGTCTGATTCGGTAACCAAACAGTCTGATTCGGTAACTATGATTCGGTAACCAAAAGCGCTGATTCGGTAACCAAAACATCTGATTTGGTAACCAAAACGTCTGATTCGGCAACCAAAACCACTGATTCGGTAACCAAAAGCGCTGATTCGGTAACCAAAACCAGGAAACCAAAACCAAAAACATTTCCAAAAAAAGAGACCGATGACCCGGGTAGTAGTAGCAGTAGTAGTAGTGGTGGTGGTAGTAGTAGTAGTGGTGGAGTGGTGGTAGTAGTAGTAGCAGTAGTAGCAGGTGGTGGTGGTGGTGGTGGTAGTGCCACCGATGCAAAATCTTTCCGCGAAGCAACAGGAGAAACGGTATTATCTTGGCAATGATTCCCCCCCACCCCCCGCACCCCACACTCCTCCTGCCGTCCGCCACTAATTCTTACTTGAATGAATGTAAAAGCCCTTTGCATCCACATGGAGCGCTATTATCTTGGCTTAGTTTCTGAACCGTCTAACTTGGTTTCTGAATCGACTGTTTTGGTTTCTGATTCGGCTGTTTTGGTTTCTGAATCGGCGCTTTTGGTTGCTGAATCGGCTCTTTTGGTTTCTGAATCGTAGTTGCTGAATCGCCTGGTTTGGTTTCTGAATCGGCCGACTTGGTTTCTGAATCGGCTGTTTTGGTTTCTGAATCGGCTGTTTTGGTTTCTGAATCGGGACTCGCTTGGTTTCTGAATCGGCCCGTTTGGTTTCTGAATCGGACTGTTTTGGTTTCTGAATCGGGACTCGCTTGGTTTCTGAATCGGCCCGTTTGGTTTCTGAATCGGCTCATTTAGTTCCTGAATCGGACCATTTGGATTCTGAATCGGACTGTTTTGGTTTCTGAATCGTAGTTGCTGAATCGGCCATTTTGGTTTCTGAATCGTAGTTTCTGAATCGGCTGTTTTGGTTTCTGAATCGTAGTTGCCTGATCGGTTGGTTTCTGAATCGGCTAATGACCTTACTAAGCAGTTTGACACAATTTGTAAGAGGGTCACAACCTGAGAAGCGAGGGACGAAAGCAAGCTAGGTTCTTCCAGGTGCGGATGCGGTCTGCTCTGTACGTGGGTCCCTGTCTCCACTTGAGTGCTCAATGCCCATTGTCCAAGCAGTCTCCGAAGCCCTTCATGATGCTAATGATGCACTACTCGGCGTCCATTACATCACTCGCATCACCAGACTCCATTTTCACTGCTTTTCGGACCCTCGCTTTTGAGCGCTCTCCCCCACCAAGCTCTGGGTTCACCCTATCAAACGTTACCTCTCAACGACCACCCCCCCCCACACCCCCTTAACTCACTTCGTTCGCCCTAAAAGCTCAAGCCTTGCCTATCGGCTGGCTTTTTGTAAAACAGAGTGATTATACAGACTTCTTTTATCTTATTTATCCACTTCATGCTGCATTCTTCTTTAAGTATTGTGTCGATCACGCACATTGTATCGTTTGTTGAATGTATTCACTCCATTCTTCGACCACTTGAAACTGTACACTTTTGAGAGGTCTAACCTATATTCATTTGCACGCATTGTTGAATGTAGTTTGCACACCCTGGATGATGTACAATTTGAAGGTGGTCGAAAAATATGTCCGACGATGCTTGCAAGTTGCAAGTAAGAGATTTGTGAGGGTCCGAGCATACAGTGATGAAGATACTTCTTTCTCTTTATTCATCCACTTCATGCTGCTTTCATCTCTAAGTCTTGTCTTGATCATGCACACCCCAGACCGTCATATACACACGAAAACCCCCAGATATGCCAAATCAACTTGAAAACCCTTTCCTGTGGGGACTTCTTCAAAAGAAACAAAACTTCACACAACCGTTCGCAAAGCAAAACACACCACTATATACCGCGCAACCGCTCCAGATCCCATTTGGCCCCATTCATTCTTTTTCACTCTCACGTCAGACAATCAGCTCGCAAACCCGTCAGCAGGACTCCTGGCAGCACAGGCAACCCCCAACACACATCAAGGGCAACACGCGCGTACGCCCTCCGCGCGACATATGGCGTGTAACCACACATGGCACGCCAATGACCAAAAAACAAATTCGCGTTATATATATATATATGTATATATATACATACGGTTACGATGATGCATATGCACATGCATGACGTGACTCAAAATGTCATGCTTAACGTTAGAAGACATATGCGCACGCTCATGCATGTTAACGTATGCCCATGCTCATGCTCATGCATGTTAGCGTGTGCTCATGCTCATGCTCATGACCCACATGTATACACCCTGCAGTCGCAAACCCAACACCTCTTCATCTCAGCTGAAGCTTCACGCATTACTTGCTTCAAGCCTGCATGGGCCACACAAGCATCATGGGTTTAAAGCTGCTCTGCAGGGACGCCTGCCAAGTAGCGCTTCAGTGTCGACGATTGAGTGCACTTAACGTGCGTTTTTCTCGCAATTGCCATGATAGTCTTCAACCACCCTTCGTCTAGCCAGGTCACACCTGCCAGCGGGTTTTTCAATTTAGCAACGCCATCCAGCAAGTGCACCAGGAGATGTAGTTTTGGCCTACAATTCCACAGCTTGTAGGTGCACCACCCTTGATAGGCACGATTGAGGTTCAAGTACGTCGTGACGAAGACTCCTCCAATGGCTTGGATTTGCTTGGCCTGCTGTTCCGTCA